TGAAGCAGAGAGGGCTTGAGGGGCACTGGTAGGAAATGAGGCTGGGAGGGCAGGCTGCTGCCAGATTAGGGCCGATGAGTCCTCAGTTGGACAAAGTGCACAGTAAGTCATTGGGACAACACACCATGAGCTGGTCCTCTGGAGCTCAACATGGAAGCCTTCACCACAGTCAGCTGGAATCATAATAAGGACCACTCATAGGAGGAAGAAAGTCTAGGGGAGTGGGCACAGCATCTCTTTGTCTACCTTTGTCTCACGATGCTCTTACCCAAAGATCTTCATTCTTTCTAAACTGCCCTTCTCACTTCCCTCCTCTTTGCCTCTAGGCCCAGGCTCTGACTCCTATCCCTCTCCCCCATCTGGAAGTGTGCACCAAGTGGCATCTAATCTCTTCTGGGGGAGCCAAGACACATTTCCTGTTTATCATGTTCACAGTCAGCTCCCTGACTAGTGACACTGTAAACAATCATTCGATTAATTAACAAGCACTTCCTATCCTGCCAGGCTCTGTAGGTAAGGATCCCTGAGAAAACCACATACTAACATTACTTATGTTTTATTGTATCTTTATTTGGTAAAATGTTTCCCAATTACATTTTAATATGCCTCTATAAGTATTTGACACCAAGTCTAGATCATTAAGATCTGAGGCTCAGTTCATCCAAAGGAGAAAGAGAAAGTCTCGAATTTCCGGCTTTTTTCATCCTCATCTTTTTTTCCTTTTTCTTTTGGTTACTCTTTGGTGAGGCAAAGTAGTTTTTCTTCACTTCTTGTATTTCCTGGGCCAGGACAATTGTCCAGTCAAATCTGAAAATTAGGAAATGGTGGAAGGCCTTCTAGAAGATCTGTGGGTCTTTGGGCATGGTGTGTGACAGGACCAGGAGTTCCTGCTTTCCCCAAAACGAGGATTAGTTTTCACTAAAAGGCAACAAAGCCTGGGATTTGATTGGCCCTTGTCTCCCTCAAGGTAGCTTCCTGGTGACCTAAGGGCACCTAAGGTCCCATCCACAGGGAGTTGTGGCTCCTCCAACATGGTGGCTTCTTTGGAGTCACCAAGACCTGCCCTGGAGACCAGACAAGTTTCCACCTGGAGATGAGAGGAGCCCTATCCAGAAAAGTGTCACTGGGTCCTCGGTGCACATCCTCACTGGGTTAGGACAAAGTCAACCTCCTTTCTTTGTGTTCAGTGGTTTGTGAGGGCCTCATTCCATCCCAACCTTGACCCTGAACTATCAGCTAGCTGTTGTTGTTAAGCACGCCCCTTACAAGAGGAGGGGACTGGATCCTGAATATCTTTGGGAAGAATAAGGAGCCAGGAGAGTGCAGGGAATCACTGGAAAGGAAGCAAAGACCGAAGACAGGCCTCTTGTCCCATTTCTTTTCCCTATGCCCTCCTTCTCCCGTCATCTCCTCCCTTTGTCCTCCCTCAGAGTGTTCCCAGTGAACTGGGCTCTGGACAAGCTGAACAACCCGGCACCGACCAAGCTGTGGCCTGGCATCTGGGGTAGTCACTGATGCCCAGCCTGCAGCTGACAGGAGCCAGTTGTGGCTTTTTTTAGCAATTTTTATTTATTTTATTTGAACTTCTGAAATAGAATAAGCATTTCCATAACATAGTGGAATAATAAAAGGTGATTGCACATGAAACTGCAAATCTATTATGTACGACTTTTTTATTCCAATTAAATATATAAGAAAGTCATCGTGTAACGTTCTTTAGTCTCTTTTTTCTTCCCCTCCCCCAGCTCTAGAGATGGATACCATTAGACACGTGTGTGTGTGTGTGTGTGTGTGTGTGTGTGTGTGTGTGTGTGTGTGTGTGTG